CAGGAGCAGAACCACAGCTGGCTCCCACCTGTGGCACTGCCAGCTCCTGTGTTGGGAGCTGCCCCCCAGCAGAGGTTCTGGGTGGCTGAGAAGTGCAGAATGCTGCTGGGGAGGGGGAGCTGTGGGTGAAGGGAGCTGCCCTCAGGTGATTTGATTTGAGCAGAGTGCACTGGGCTGGTGCTGGTGTGATGTGAGTGCCCAGAGCATGTGGCGGCCGCAGCAGCACAGGGACCAGCCCTGCACTTTGCAGGGGCTGAGGCGATTAGAGCTGAATCTCATTAGTGCTTCATTATCTCTGGGAGGTGGTGGGGAGGGGCAGCAGCTCCCCCTGCCAAGTGTGCCCAGAGCTGCCCCTGCTCCATGGACTGTGGCTGGGGTGCAGCAGCCTCATTCACTCCCCTCCCTCAGCTCTGGGAATTAAAGCTGCTCAGCTGCAAAATTGATGCTGTGGTGGAGACCCAGAGTGGAGTGGAGCCTTCCCATGTGGAGAGGGAGCAGGTCTTGGCACCTCAGCTCATCTCCAGCCCTTCCCTGGAGGCTGCTTTGCCCTCAGAGCAATGCTTAGCACAAAGCCATGACCTCCTGCCTCTTATTTTCTTTTTCTGTTTTTTATTTGTTGAGAGAGCATTGGCCAGGCCTCGTGCCTTCCCCGTCAGTGTGCTGCGTGTTCTGGGGGTGGGGGACCCTCAGCAGCTCTGTCTGCACTGCAGCAGGGCCAGGGAGCCCCAAACCAGCTCCCTCTGCCCCAGCTGGCTCCTGTTAGCAGTGTGGTGGTGAGAGCTGAGCGTGGGCTGGGAGTCAGAGCCCAACGTCTGCCCTGCAGCTGGAGCTGCTGCTGGAGCCAGCGCCCAGCCCCAGCCAGCCCTCCAGGATCACTCCTGCCCTGCTTACAGCTCAAGGCAGGCTGGGGAGGCAGGGGACTCCAGCTGGGCAGGCAAGGAAAGGAGAACACCCCAGTGAGGTCCCACAAAGGGACAGCAAGGTGGGAGGTTTTGGTTCAGCAAGGTGGAAGTGCAGTTCCTGGCACAGAGGGGCTCGTGGTGCCCTTGGAGAAGGGATAAATGGAGCTGGTGAGCAGGAGATTGGGCACCCCTGGGCAGTTTTGGGGTGCTGAGCCCCAGCTCTGTGGCCCCCAAGGTTGGGCACTCTCAGTGCAGCTGCAGCGAGCGAGGACAAGATCTCCATGGCTCCAATATTCCACTTCAAACCCCGCAGCCCCCGGACAGATGGCAGCTCTGCTGGGGATTTTGCTGAAATTTATTTTCTCTTGATTTGGCAATATGTGATTTCCAAGGCTGATAATCATCTTTGTGCTTGTGAAGTGTCTGCCTTTGGAGGATCCCAAAATAGGCAGCAATAGGAACCGTTGGGAAGAGGGAGGCGAGAGAGGAGAGCTTGGGGTTGGGTCCAGTTGGGGAAAGTGAGACAGAACATTCTTTGTGCATTCCCCTTCCTTTTGCTCTTCCTGCTGTGGTCATTCCATTTGTCTCTGGGAGCTGTTGAGTCTGTGACAGGGTGACCACAGCTTCTGACCATGGCTGTCCTTGCTTTCAGGTGACCTTCACCAAGCGTAAGTTTGGCCTGATGAAGAAAGCCTACGAGCTGAGCGTGCTGTGCGACTGTGAGATCGCCCTCATCATCTTCAACCACTCCAACAAGCTGTTCCAGTATGCCAGCACCGACATGGACAAGGTGCTGCTCAAGTACACCGAGTACAACGAGCCCCACGAGAGCCGGACCAACGCCGACATCATCGAGGTGAGGCCCAGCTGTGCCCCCAGGGTGGGGCCAGGGCTTGGGCTGGGACCACTCTGTGTGCTGGGAGGGCATGGAGCCAGCAGATCTGCCACACTCAGATGGATTTGGAATGGTTTGGGTTCAGCAAACCCATGGAAATAGGCTGTTCTGGGTGGTGGAGTTGTCTCCAGTTGTGTGGTGACCTGATGTCCTGAAGCTTGAGGTGCAGGTTTGCTCTGTGGGACCTTGCTGTGGAATCCAGGCAAACCAGGAGAAGGATTTGGGCTGCTGCTGGAGTGCCTGGTGCAGCTGGTGGCATTGTTCTGAAGTGCCTGGTGCAGCTGGTGNCCGGCTTTGGGGCTCGCTGTCGCTTCTCGTTTCCTGCCAGCCCGGCTGACGTGCCAGCTCCTCAGAGGGGCCTTGGGCAGGGCACAGCTCACCAAGCACCAGGATGCTCCACAGCCACTTAAAGGCACCCAGCTGTTCCTGCCCCGTCCTTGGCTGGGTGTCCTGGAGGGGCTGATTTTCCCCCCTGATTCGCTTTCCTGGTTGTCACTCCGCAGGATGTGTTAAATCAGACATTCTGCAGGATGCTGAAACGCAGGGGCAGCTGCCAGTGTCAGTGTCTTCATCCTCATTCTCATCCTTATCCTCATCCAGACTTCCCCAAAGGCCAGAGTGGTTGAGGCTCCCTCCTCTGAGGGAAGTGGGCTGCATCCTGGCTGAGCATCGTTTCCTCTCACATGTTCTGCATTTCCTGCTGCTCTCTTCCCCTCTTCAAATTGGAAATCTGCTCCCCTGAGAGCTGCACTCATGGAAGTGAGAATATTGCCTGGAAAAGCAGGATGTGCAGTGGGTCCTGATGGAACGGGGGGATCTGAGGGGCAGGTGATGACCGAGGTGGGCCTTGCAATGGGAAATTCTCCCCCTGGTTCTCTCTGAAAATTTTCTGCTGTAAAGGAACTGCTTTTAAATCTCTTCCATATGAGAAATGGTTGTGTTCTGCTGGCTGCAGCCCAGTGACAGAAAGGTTTCCTGAAAACCTCTTTACATTTTCTGTTTTTTTTTTTTTCCCTGGCAAAATAAAAGAAGAGGAACGAGAAGGAAAGTTCTTTTCTAAAAGACCTTGCAGAGATCCCAAACACAGGAATCTTTGGGTTTGACTCTCGCTCCAGCAGAATTATTTTCCTTTTACATCATCTCAACAAAAAAGCTCAAAATGTGGGATGCACATTTTAATTTTTTTTTTTTTTGCAAAAAAACCCCAAAGAAGCAGCAGCCAACGCCCGTATGGCTGGAAATGGCATTTTGTTGTCCCCAAGCTCTCATTTTGTTGTCTCAGAGAGCAGCAGATGCTGCAAGGCACGCTGCCCTGGCTCGTGTCCTGCTGCCACTCCAGCCTGGTGCTTGCTGTGCTGCCGAGCTCAGCCCTGGGCTTTGTCCCCGTCCCCTTCCCTGCAGCTCCTCACGGTGTCACAGGGTCACAATCCAGCCCCAAGGTCACAGTCCCAGCTCAGGGTCGCTGTCCCAGCTCACAGGTTTGCAGGAAAGATTTTTTTTTGTCTGGTTTGATGTTTCCTGGGGCTGCTGGTGGGTTTCCTGCAGGAGC